CTCTTTCACTCTATATTTTTCTTATGTGTTGTGTGTAACAAACCAAATGAAGACCACCACTATTTATACTACAAGAAGTCTTCCTAGCAATGAATAGGAAGATAATGGGCTAGTAAATAGTGAAGATAATGGTCTTAGGAGTTACATAGGTTACAAGGATAATGGAGAGTAAAGAATGGAATAATGAGAGGGGTAACCAATGCCTCTAACGTGTACTTGCACAACGGCCAACTTTCCAACGTTCACAGAAAGCAGCAAAGTGCATAAGCCTATGGTCATTAATTGACCACTAAGTAATGAGGCACAAATGCATGTAACTCCCACGTCCTCTATTCCATCTTCATGGCAGAATGGCTATACTAAGTTTTAACAAATTAATATACAAAATATTAATATTAAAATGCTAATAAACCAACATCACATGAGAAACTTCTTTTTATGAATGCAAATGGTGGTGTTTTGTTTCTAGTTTACAGAAATTTCGGAGCAGATAGACCATGATTTACAGCGAACTCATCCAGATATCCGTGTAGCAGTTGGTATTTGAGTGGAATAAAATGCAACATTGATCAATTGCTCTCATCATCTTCATTTCCAATCCTTACAGTATCTATGTATGATTTTCCAACGAGCTCTCGAGAAAAATATCCTTTAAAGTAATCGGCCACTCCAATCCTCCTATATTGTGCAGGGGATTGAAGAGTGAGGAGGCTAGCTGCTGGACCTAAATCTCCATCCAGTTTGGGGCTAAAAAATGTAGCAATGGAGATCCTCTCCTTGTCCTCATTAACGATGGCTCGATGTTCAATGCTCTTGTAAATTCCATTTGTCACAATCTGCAAAAACAAAATTGACGACAGAGCTTTACAAATTGACTTGTATCATACCAAACATACTTATTTCTCACCTCTAAAATGTCTCCAATGTTAACAACAAAGGCATCAGGACGATATGGAACCGGAATCCAAGCTCCATCTTTCTTAATTTGAAGACCTTCAGTTTCATTAACCTGAAGGAGTATGGCTAATAAAGCAATAGAATCAGTGTGAGGGCATATGCCCATTACGCGGTCTGGTTGAGGACAAGGAGGGTAATAATTTAGTCTCATCATTTGGGTCGCATCTTTTTCAAATAATACATTCAGTTCCTCTGCTTTCATCCCTAAAACTCTTGCCATCATGTACAGAATTTTCATTGCAAGCTCTTTGAGTGCTGTTGAGTATTGTTCCAACGCATCCCTTGACGGTCCAAGAATGTAAATATTGTATAGAAAAAATATTCACTAATCATAAACTCAGTTATATAAATATGGTACCTGAGTGAGGCGGGAAGCTTTGGAAACAAGTGAGGTTTTCTGAAATGAGTAGGGAGAGTGATCATGTAAAGCATGTCAGCCCAATCTAACTTTTGTTCTTCAGATACAACAAAGGCTTGCCCGTATCCTTCACTATCTCCTTCCTCTTGCTCAAATTTCTTCTTCTCTTCCATTGGTAGATTGAAAAATGCTTGGATTTCTGACTTCACTTTCTCCATCAATGATGAACTCACTCCGTGATTCACCAACTGCGTAATTTTACTAAACTATAACTTTATTTACTATGTTCTGAAACTTTAAATTTAACTTTATTAAATACTGAGGTTAGTATGTATGAGAAAAAGTTATGGAACATAAAACAAAAATGAAAGAGTGTTAGTTTGATCTATGAAACCTGGAAAAATCCCCATTCTTTGCAAGCAAGATGAAACCTGTTAAGCTCTGTTTCATCATCATCTTTAATTATTTCCATGTCAATAACTGGAGGTAATTGATGAGGCAATAATATGGAAGAATTATACAATTGATTTTCGTCATCATTATTACGAATATATCGCGGCGGAACACCTGATAGTTGTTGTTTTGCCAGCTCCTGAACGTTAGGAACTTTCAAAGAGCCACCTAACTTTCTCGACCTTGCTTCTTCCATCATCAACTTTATTTTTTTCCAGTAAATCAAAATCGTTAACTAGGATAGAAAGATTATTGTGTGTGTTGTCAATAAGATTTTATGGTACTTTGCCTTTGACAACGTTTTAATTAATTGATGGATAAATATGTAGGACGATACAAGATTATTTATAAGGGGAATTTTCATACATAACCACTATAATAAATTTAATTATGTTTCATATGTATAATTTGTATATTTACGTGCTATTGCTACAATTTAAACTGTCTCTTTGTATAATTTGCGGGTGAGTTTGTATAATTCGTGATACGTTTGTATAATTCAACTATTTTTGTATAAACTCGAACTAACGAATTTATACAAACACAAACATCTAAACTTTGTATAAACTCGAATTAACGAAGTTATACAATTATATTACACAAAGTTACATTATACAAAAGTTATACAAACGTGCAAATTATACAAACTAAAACAATGAGCTGCATAGTTATAGCTAAAAATAGGTCGCGAATTGTATTTAAGGCATACTGTAGCTATGTTAACTAATTAACTACTAATATATACGTGCTTATTCGCGTAATTTTCCCAAATTATTTAAAACTGAAATTTGAAATTCGACCTCTAAGTTTGTGTTAACGAATTTAAACTCACTCTATATATACACTAACTAAAAAAAATAAAATTACTTACATATAATATAATTTTTTGCTGAGGAGGCGAGGGCTTACCGAGCCTCCCAATATTTCACGAAATATTGACACGAAATAAATGCGCGCTAGCCAAATTATTTCAAATTCTCATTGACTTAATGGGATTTTTTTTTAAAATTTCATATTAAAATATTATTATTATTACTTTCTCGATTCAATTTAAATATTTGTGAACATAGCTACTTGACATTTTCCAATGAGAAATTATAATGGAAAAATAATGATTTGTCGTTTAATAGCCATGCCACAACTACATAGTAGCATTAAATATCCAGCTTTTGAAAAAAAAAATCTTGCCTAATTTTTTGGGGTAGAACTTAACCTAAATTTTGACTTTAGTTCTACATTTAACCATCTTTTATTTAAATTCAAAATAAAACTTCAATTATGACCTTAATACTTGCAAATTAGATGGTGCATAACTTTTGCTAATTTAAGATGGCATAATTAATTAAATCTTTAATAAAATGCATATATAGTCTATTTGCATGCACTTCGTTAATTATTTTTACATAATCTGAAAAGTGATATAGATTAATGAATGATTATACAATGATAGTCATTATTACTTACTTACCGTCCTATATATTTCCCCACCTATTAAAACCTCGCAGAGGCAAAGGACCACAAGTTTTATTGATCAACACGCAATAACCTAATTAGAAATTTGAAATATTTCTAAAAAAAAAAATTTTTTTTGGGGGGGGG